CACACACAAAAAGTGGTGATGATATGACTGGATGGAGGTGTTAACTAACTCTACTGTGGTAGTCACTTAGGAATATATATATAATATATATATAACACTTAAAGTTACACAATATTACATGGCAATTACAGCTCAGTAAAACTGAGAAAAAATATTAAAAGACAAAACACAACATGGCAGCGTAGCTATACTGTGGAATAGTAAGCAGTTAAAGAGTGAGATAATTTTTCTGTGTAGTGACACAGGAGGCCCATGGTACCAAATTAAAAGAACAGCTCTTGGACACTACATAGCACTCTCATTTTTGTTTTTGCTTTTAAAACAACAGATCTATGCAGTACAACAAAACATTAATAATAGTTGCCCTAGAGGCAGAGTGGAGGCTTGAGGTTACAGGGGGTTTTCCGTTTTGATATTTTGGTATTACGTAAATTTTCCACCACTTATGTTTTCTCTATCTTTAAACAGTTTTGAAAACTTTGCTTAAAACTCAAAATTCTAGTAGGAGATAAAAATTCTAGCAGGAGGTAGGAGGTAAAACTAAAAATTCTAGTAGGAGGTAAAAACATTCAGTTGTAAGAAGCATGCAACTCTAGGTTAAGTCAGTATTGCATTGATCAGTTGGCCATGTGTAGTTGTTAAATAAATTTGACAGTACGGTCACTACAGCAGTGTAGAGGTGGGGAAGGTCACCTCAGGTTAGTTGGTCAGGGATTTAACTGGAAATGAGAGGCTTGGCTCATGGTGTGGTTATTCATTTGCTTTAGTCCTTGTGCCTTTGATGTAAATAGTAACCACAGGCTTTTTGAGGGGATGTGGTCCTATATAAAACAGGGAGATGTGAGATGTGTACAAATAGGACTGTGATTTCTTGTGTTGATTCTGCAGTGTACAGAAGGTACCAGAATAAACCAAAAATGTATTTTTAACTCCTCTGAAAAGCAGGAATATATATATATATATATGTACACATACACATACACACACACTTTTATCTGGGATGGTTCACCTAAGAGAAACAGAGGAGTGTGTTTATGTGTCTTTTTTGCCCCAGGTAGCAGTGAATCAGTGGGCGTTAGCTTAGACTGCAGAATCTCCGTATACACAGACTGGGCAGGGAACAGAGCACTTTTGTTTCCTTTTTTTGTCTTCGACACTACTGGAGCACCCCTCCATAGGACACTTAGTCAACAAACTCATGTGTGGTATGTGCTCGTTTGGCAACCACCATGTTCAAGCTGGCCCTCTGATTCTTTACAGGGAAACTGGTGTTCTAGACAAGTCACTAATCTTATATGGCTTGGTTGAATGTGATTACAAGATCTGTTGTTGTAGAGTCTAGTAATTTATTTTAACTTTTACCATATGATTTATCATCCTTAGAACCTGTTATTTATTACTGATGCTCTGTTTAGCCCTTTATTTATGCCTTTGCTTTAGCACTTAGCTGCAAAGCCAGTTATTCTGAGAAGGTATGATGACTATGTTTGAGTACTTGTGTTTTGTGCCAATTTTCGAATCTTAATATTTTTTTCTTTAAGCTCTCATGATTAAGAAATCTAGAGATACTGACTGTAAATATCTTGTGTAAGACCCTGAAAATTCCAAAAGAATTATCCCTTTGTTCAATAAAATGAAAAAGAGTTTTAAAGTACTGGAAGCTTTCACAGTGTGTTAGGATACTCTTTTAAAAAAAAATCCCTGTCACCAGGTCTGGCAATGTCTTTAACTTCCTTGCATTTGAGTAAATGTGTGACAGCCTTTGGGCAGAGGCAGGAATAATCTGTTGTATAAGCATAAGAGATTTCACTTTCTATTCGCTCAAAGACCCAACACCTCAGAATAGGAAGTGGAGCTGTAAAGCCTCTGCTTCCTCAGATCCCTTGGGCGTCCTATCACTGAACTCGGTAGATTCTGGGATTTAAAAATACATATTTCTCACTCAGTTTGGCCCTTAAGAGCAAAGTATTAGAGTGTATAATACACAGAGACTTTTTTTTTTTTTTTTTTAAAGATTTTATTTATTTGAGACAGAGAGAATGAGAGAGAGAGAGCACATGAGAGGGGGGAGGGTCAGAGGCAGAAGCAGGCTCCCTGCCGAGCAGGGAGCCCGATGCGGGACTCGATCCAGAGACTCCAGGATCATGACCTGAGCCAAAGGCAGTCGCTTAACCAACTGAGCCACCCAGGCGCCCAGCACAGAGACTTTTCAAGGGTACTTTAACATATGGAAATCTCATGGGTGCATTGACTTTAAAACCTAACTCCCATGTAAGGTACGATTCCACTGACTCAGTACTGCACCCAGCACATATGTGTGGGATGGACCAGCCTTTGCCGGACTGTTAGGAAAAGAAAATATTTTGTCATCTCCATAACTTGTATATTGGAAGTATTTTGTAAGACATACTAATTTGTTCTTGTGAAAAGTTTAATAATGCATTTGTTGTTAACACTCTCCATGCACTCTTTGATAATTTTTACTTCATTTATTAAGGTAACAACATTCTGTGCTTACATTTTATTTAGATTAGTTTAGTAATATTGGAGTACAACTTCTCTTCATATCCCTACATAGAGTTCGAATTAGTTTTCCATAAGCCTGCCCATTCAGAATGGCATCTACGTCTGATAATGCAGTATTGATCTCTCGGTAAGATGTATAGGTAGACCTCCCACATGTGTTAAACTGGAAATAGGTGTGCAAGTTCATAAAAGAAAGAGCCCCAGCAATACATGCTGCCATAGGATTTCTTACGGAATTCATGGGCCAGGGATTTCTTTTCAGAAAATGTGCCTCATCTTGTGGCTCACAGAATGCAGTGAGCTCATTACTGTCCAGCTTGTGAAGTCACTGCTGAGATTGTAATTTAATGCACATGGAGCCATCTTTTTTTTTTTTTAAATAGTATTACAGAGGCTAATCAGGCAGATAATTTAGCTTTTTTTTTTTTAAGATTTATTTATTTATTTGAGAGAGCGAGAATGAGAGAGAGAGAGAGAGAGAGTGTACATGAGTGGGGGAGGGTCAGAGGGAGAAGCAGGCTCCTCGCTGAGCAGGGAGCCCGATGCGGGACTCGATCCCGGGACTCCGGGATCATGACCTGAGCCGAAGGCAGTCGCTTAACCAACTGAGCCACCCAGGCGGCCCACATGGAGCCATCTTTAGAGTAAAAATACTTGATCAAATACAACCTTAGTTTCATTAAACCTTAAATTCCTGGTATCTGCAGAGGTTTGGTTGTTTTCACAGTGCATTAGTAGACTTGTATAAAGCATTGGTTTTTACTAAAGCAGTCTTTTCACCCCAAGCCCTGTTGGCATTTTGGGCCAGGTACTTCTTTGTTGTGGAGGCTGTCCTATGCATTATAGGATGTTTAGCAACATCCCTGGCCTCTACCCACTAGATGCCAATAGCACCGCCCAAAAATGTGTACAGACATTGCCAGATGTCCCTGGGGCAGAAGTGCCCCTGGTTAAGAACTACTGCACTAAAGTAATCTTTGGCAAGTACGCACTATATATGATTCCCAGTGCTGGTCTTGGCTAAATAGAGTTAAATGGGTGCAGCTGCTCTGTCAGACACGTGTGCGAACATTAATATAAAATTAATCTTTAGGTGTCACATTATAGTTTTTAAAGCTTTAATATATACGATCTCATTTGAAACTAAAACAATGTGAAATGGACATTAATTATCACATAGGAGTCTGGGGAAGTGGGAGCTTCTAGAAACTAGAAGATACAAGTTTAACATGGATACCTAAAATAATCTCCTCAGAGAAAGAAAATGCAGTGCAGGAAGAAAATGTTTTAATCTTTATTATAACTGCCACTTAAACTCTTTAGCACCCTAGGCATCTCCTTCCGTTCTTCCTCATTTGCCAAGTGCTACTGAAAACATGTCATTGTCAGGGAGGCTTTTGCCATTGACTCAGTAAGAACTCCTGCTTTTGGGTCCTTCCACAGTCACACTGGCTTCTTTTCCTCTTTAAATCGAAACCTCCTAATGTTCTGCCCTGTGGCCAGAGGTGCTGACGAGAGAGATGACAGCAGAAGAGGGACGCACAGTGACGGGCCGAGGAGTGTGCTCACAAAGAGTACACCAAGGATTTTATTATAAACATAACATCCTGTTCCATGTTGAATCCATGAGGTTCTTTTTAATGGTTTTTTTTCTATCTGTATTGATAGGGATTGATGTAATTATAAAATCTGAGACCTTGATGTCTCCTTTTGTTTTAAATTAGGCTGTTACATCTGCCTTTATCCCTGACCGCCTTGAAGCTGAAGGCTTTGTGGTTGTCTGACAACCAATCTCAGCCCCTGCTCACATTCCAGACGGACACAGACCACACCACAGGAGAGAAGATTTTGACCTGTGTCTTGCTTCCTCAGCTGCCTTCTGAACCTGCTTGCCAAGGTGAAATTAAGAACAATACTCACATGGCTACGAGAATTAGTAGGAGCTAATACCTATCCATAAGACCTCTTACTCCCACGTGTGTCTGTAACTCGTCTAATGTGCCCCTAGCCCGCGTGAGGTCACTCTGGGTGTCCTCTGGGAAGGTTCGTTCCCCTGCACCTTCGAAGAAAAAGTACCCCTCACACCTGCTTATCATACCTGAAATTTGCTTAAACAGCCTTTTGGGTTTGAATTATCACCAAGGCTGAAAGTACAAATACTCTTAAAAAAGTTGACAGAGTCCCTTAAAATCCAGACTGGTGGTTTAGAGGATTAGTATTGAACACCACTGACAGTTTTGTTTTTTTTTTAAGATTTATTTATTTATTTGTTTATTTTAGAGAGATAGAACACGAGTGGGAGGGGCAAAGGGAGAGGGAGAGAGATCTCAAGCCGACTCCACACTGAGCGCAGAGCCTGACCAGGACTTGATCTCACTACCCTGAAATAATGACCCGAGCTGAAATCAAGAGTCAGTGTTTAACTGACTGAGCCACCCAGGCGCCCCCACGGACAAATAGTTTTTAAGCCAATCTGTTATTTTAAGTCATTGTATCTTTGTTTTGTAAATTATGTGTGGTTTTAAAAAATATTTGCACTAACATCAAATTGCCATTATAAATCTTTTGCTGAGAGCTGGTTTTGATAGAAGAGAACTAGAGTGCTCTGGGAGAATGGGAGTCCCCTAGGTGGAAAGGCCCCAAAACCCTCTTGCCAATTTCAGCCTTGTTAGAGGAGCTTTTAAGACCCCAAGGGGAAAACAGCAGAATGTGTTACTAAGGAAAGTACTAGTGTCCAACATGTGCAGCCCCATCACTGTCATGTAAAAGGTTTTTTATTTTTTTTCTTTTGTTTTTAAGAAGGCTCCATGCTCTGGAGCACTGGGTGTTATGCACAAACAATGAATCATGGAACACTTCATCTAAAACTAATGATGTAATGTATGGGGATCAACATAAGAATAAAAATAAAAATTAAAAAAAAAAAAAAAAAAGAAGGCTCCATGCTCAACGTGGAGCCCAACCTGGGGCCTGAACTCACGACCCTGAGATCAAAACCTGAGCTGAGATCAAGAATCGGATGCTTAACCCACTGAGCCACCCAGGCACCCCTCATGAGAAAGTTTTTACAGTTAGTGTATAGAAAAGAATTGTGAAAAAGGATTCTATAAATTATGATGACATTCTGTAATGAGATACTAAACATTAATTTAGCAGATATTTTATATGATCTCAAATAGAATTATGCATCATTAAAAAGAAAGGGTGACCCTGTCCCAGATTTTTTTCTTTTTGTTTTAAATTTTTTGAAGTACTGCATAGCAGTTACTAGTCACACAAACCCAAGTTCCCAGCTGATGTGGTCTTTGCCATGACAGAGAACCTGCCTCGCTGTGGGGCACTGGAGTGCTTGGTAAATGATGTCCCGGACGAGGCTTGGAATGAGCGTGCGGTGAACAGAGTCAGTGCAATCCGATTTCTGGAAGATGAAAGAGATGAAGAAGACAATGAGACGGTATGGAAATGGAGATTGTTGGCCTCCCTGAAAATTCAAAATTTAAAACCTTTCCAAGATAAGAGTGGCACCTAATAAGGATTTCTGTTAATTTCAAATTGTTCTCTGCTTTGCCTTTAGCATATAAGAATTTTTTTAGAAGACAAAATTAGGTATTTCTAGGTACTGATTCACCAAATGTATATAAAGCAAATGGAACTTTTGGGTTTTTTTCTTGAATAGTTTATACTCTTATTCTTTATTTGTGATAGTATCCCTTCTTGGCTCCACAAAACTGATTGGGAATTTGTTCTGTTTTTGTTGTTCTTGGTGAATGAAGTCTCTTTCCCACCACCATTTAGAGGTGTACCATGATGACTCCATTCACACTTCACAGCGTGACTTGGCTTGCCTTCTGTGGAGCTGTGCTTCTCTCTCTCCTTTATGTAATCATTCTCTCCACCCTCAGGCGGAGTGCTTGCCATCTTAGTTGGGCTAATTTACAAGTTTTCATCCAAAAATCAGGAATAGATTTGAAAGTACTACTTAGCCTTACTCTAATTTCCAAGCACATACCCACACTTTAAAAAATGTCTCTCGGCCTGCCGAGGTCTCCAGGAGTCCGTGACAACTCTTGAAATATTACTACAAGTTGACTTGGGCGTCTTAAACTCCTAGTGCTGAGATTTTCATAAGCGGAGCTTAGAGGGAGTACCTGCAGCCCCCAAAGCAAAAGACTGCCTGTGGTCTTTGTTATTCCAGCTGTCACCAAATGGGATTTTATGTGTTTACTGTAGTGGAGCGCAGAATAGGAATTAGGCACGACCAAGTGACTTCAGCAGAAAGGAGTCATCAGTGCTTACCTGGTGGCTTGCTGGAGGGTGAGGATTTCACCAGTTCCTTCACTGCCTCAGTAGTGCCCTTGCGGTGTTGTGTCACCCTTCTCTAGGCTCCTCCTCCTGAAACTCCTGGACAGGCCATTTACAAGACGGAAATGCTGTCTTAGGAGCCAGAGAGCACGGGACATGTCAGATAATACAATGTTTTAAAGACTGTCCCTTCCCTGACACTTCACTCCCAGCACTGTGGCCTTTATTAGAAGAATGTGAGCTCTCTTTAGTAGGCAATATGAATAACACACACAGCAGCGCAGTCAGAAAAGAAGCCCTTCTCTCGCTTCCCTTTTCCTTCCACTCCCATGCCGCCAGGGTTGAAGGAAGCCAGAACCACTTAAGATAGTAGTAGACCAGTGCAGTGATTTTAAGTTAGAATCTGTTTACCCCCTTATCTTTTTCTTTCTTCACACCGCACACTAACATCTTAAAAATCTTTGTTTCCTTGCCCTTCATGGGTCTTTATTTTTATCTTAAGCTAATCTTACATTTTACAAAGTACTCTTTTATTCTGAAAGTAATCCTTCTATGTGGACTCGGTAACTTAGACGCGATACCTTCATCTTCCACGAGCTGCTAGTAAGCAGCTCGTAAGCGCACAGGGCTCCAGAGGAGGCGCTTCCGCCCCTCTTAGCTCCTGCGCCCCCGCGAAAGGAAGCTTTGTCCCCGAGCGCCCCCACCTTGAAGCTGCGTGTTTGAAAGCGGAACGGCATAAAACCCACACGCTCACTCCCCTGCTTGTTTTCAGAGAACACTTCTGCGGCGAGCCACGCCACACCCAGGGGAGCTAAAGAACATGAAAAAGACAGTGGAGAATTTGCGGAATGACATGAATGCTGCTAAAGGACTGGATTCAAACAAAAACGAGGTCAATCACGCCATTGACCGAGTGACCACTTCCGTATAGAATTCCACCTCCGAATTTTACCTCCCGTACCTCCCGTGTCTTCCCCTGCTGTCGAGATCCTGCCTCCTTCCTCCCCAGGAGCCTCGCGCAGTCCTGGGGCTTCCCCGGAACGTGGGCACGTGCGCGCCACCGCCCAGGAACGTGGGTGCGTGCGCGTCACCGCCCCGGAACGTGGGCACGCACTGCGCGTCACCGCCCACGCCGCGCGCTGGGCTGCTGCTCTCCCGATGGAAGTGCCTTACTCCGGCTCCTCAGCCAGTCGGGGCAGCCGGTGCGCCCCCGGTGTGCCGCCCTTCCTCTGACTTCCAGTCGTTTGTCCCAAGTAGAATACACTACTGTAAACATCTGACCTTTGTTTCTGTCTTATGTTGGGGTAAGGGAGTGCAGGAAGGGGAATTTCGTTGATCCTCCTCCCTCCCGTAAAGTGCTGGGACATTTTGAGCCCAAGTTCTCCTGGACCTACTGGTGAGAGAGAGTTTTATGTATGGGGCATAACTGATCCTTTTTAAAAAAACTTTTTGGCAGCTCAGATGGTGTAAATTTAAAAATTTTGTATAGGTATTTCGTAGCAAAAAAAAAAATGCGTTTTTCTTTTTTGTTATTTTATCTTGGAAACGGTACATATTTTAGTATTTGTGCAGAAAAAAAAGAACAGTCCTAAAGTATTTGTTTTCACTTGTACCATCCACTTGTGCCTTACTGTATCCTGAATCATGTCAAACCAGTTGAACGCAGCGGCATCCCTGAGCAGTGAGACGAGACTAGGAACGTGCCACTTTTAAAGCAGTGTTGGATTTTAATCAGTAATCTACCTGGTGGATTCGTTTTTAACCAAAAAGAAGAGTTACCACCAATTTGTAAATTTTATCAGTTGATTTTTTTTTTTTTAAAGATGAACCAAAGGATTAGACTGCTAATATTTCATGTCTTACACTTTAACTTTTTATGAATGAGTCTCTTATGAGTGCAGTGTCTGATTGTAGCTATTTGGAAGGTATATGCCATTTGTAAAATAAAATAGATCAGAAAAGCACAAAAGGAGAAAACCGGCTCAGAAATTCAGTGGATAAATGAATTATGTACTGCAAAAGAAAGTATGATTTTTATGGAAGAAAGCTTTAAAAGTTTTATAATGAGATATAAAACCACAATAAAGCAAAATAACCATATTAGAAATGTTGCTATCTTTGTAAGTGCAATTTAATTTGTAAATAGAGTTTGAATCAAAGTATAACAAATCCTTGCTTCAAGTTTTAATTTTAAATCTGCTAATTTAAGGGGCATGGGGGTATGTTTTGGTGTGTTTGATTTCTTTCCTTTTTTTTTTTTTTTTTTTTTGGTATAATGTCATAAAAGAGAAATGAAAAGTGCCAGTCACTATGTGGTATCTAGGAAAATCACGATATTGTTGGTTTTTTGTTTTCTCTCCATGAAATAAAATCGCCCTGTAATTAACCATACAACTTTTTAAAATTAATTATCATCTTGTATGTTCAGATGGTGGCAAGTAGCTGAGTTCTTTGACGATGCACTCCCATCCATTAAATATCTAAACTACTGGTCAGTTTTGAGTTAATTGCTTGCCGTTTTGCACACAGCACAGACCCCAGAACTGCCTTTCTCTCTGGCTAATAACTTTGGGTTGTGGCTGTCTGGCCAGTTGGACTCCATAGAAACCTGCTTTCAACCAACCAAATACACCTTCTACTACAGCTATGCATTTACTTACTGGGTTCATTTTGCTTTTTAAGTTGTTTGTGTGTGTGTGTGTGTGTTTATTTATTTATTTTAAAATCTATTTATTGAACTGGAAGTACCATGGGTTATAAGTGGTTTTTGGCTAGTCAGTTTCATACCTTGCTCCCCAATCTGAGTCCCTGTTTGGTTTTTCTCCATTTTAAGATTTTGTCATACTCTGCTTTAGGCCTGTGAAGATGATGCCACTAAACTCATGGACTGATAAGCAAATTCGTTTTATTTAAGGAGAGTAATCTTGATGCTAAAGAACAAATAGAACTTGAATGGTGTTTTTTGTTTGTTTGTTTTCATATAAAGCCCACCCTTTACCACTCAGTTTATCCTGGCTTTTGGGGGAATGTAGTGGGCAGAATAGAGGGTGTGCTTAAATTTTTCTAGGAAATTTTATGTAGGTAATTATCTGTTTTCTTTGGCTGCCCTTCTTTACCACACGTTCGCCTGTTTTGTGTGTTGTTTTGTTTTCAGTTTCTGGGATTTTGTTTTCCCCTTCCTTGCGAAGGGAAAAGTTACTTTCATTTTACTTGTTCGTGCTGGGTGACACTGCTGTGCCCTTTACCTTCAGGGTGCCGGGACCAGGCTTACACCTCATGATGGAAACAGCATCAACCAAAGAGACCCAACTCAAGAACATGCCAGTCTTTTCCAGTGAAGCCTCTCTTGTCATTAGAAGGAAAACCTAATTATGCGAAAGGATACCTGTCCCTTGTGAGGAGGCTAGTGCCAAAATTTCCTGACCTTTTCCTAGCGGAGCACTGGCGGCCCCCACCCCGCAGTCTGGCCCTTCCTTCAGGAAAGGGAGGAGTTCAGTGTATGGCCTGCCTGTTTGTATTGTGGGAGTGACAGGTAAAAGCAGGAAAGATTATTATGACCTGTTCACCCACTTTTATTTGTGGCCCCTTATTTCCTGTTTTTAGCCAGGGAATTATGCCTAAGTGGATAAAATAGAAAAAAAAAATTGGGTTGAAATAATGGAAGTCACTGTTGGAAAAGAGGTACAGGTAAGAAAACTAGAACCATTTGCCTGGATGTTGTGTTGTTGTTTTTGTTTTTGTTTTTGTCTTCTGGGCAAGTTTGGAGGCGTGGTCCTGACCAACCCAATCTTTCTACCTAAAAACTTCTTAGGTAGCTGTCCCAGGTAAGGAAGCCCAGGTGGAGGTGCGGGTGCAGCCTGCCAAAGCAGCCTGCCGCCTCTTGGGAAATCTCCCAGGCCTGAGAAGACACGCTTCGTGGGTGGGGTGGAGGCTGGGAAAGATTCTGCCTTCGTCTGAAAGGTACTCTGAACAGCCAGGTCTCACCGTGTAAAAGTGACCGACACCCACTGAGGAGGGACAGCCCTGCAGCTGCTTATTCGTAGAAGGCGGTCAGGGTTCTTGTAGCTCAGCGACATCGGGGAGAGTTGAAATCTTGCTCCAGCAATTCATATCGACTCACCCAAATTTCCAAAGAACCAATTCAAAAACTACACACACACACACACAAAACCCACAAAAACACCCAAACTTTTTTTTACAGATAGTCAAAAACATACAAAAGTAGAATTATATAATGAACCCCCATATACCTATCACTCAGCTTCAAAAGTTATCAACCCAAGACCTAGCTATTTTAAAGGAACCGAATTGTGTTTTAAAATATATCCATAAGGGGCACCTGGGTGGCTCAGTCGGTTAAGCATCTGCCTTCGGCTCAGGGGCTCAGGTCATGATCCCGGGGTCCTGGGATTGAGCCCCACATAGGGCTCCCTGCTCAGTGGGGAGCCTGCTTCTCCCTCCCCCCTCTGCCTCTCCCCCTCCTTGTGCTCTCTTGCTCTCTCTCAAATAAAATCTTTAAAAATAAAAAATAAAATATATCCGTAAGAAGACTGCACAGTGAAACAATTTAAAAACTTAGGAAAGGCAGGGCACAGATAGGCCCTTTAAAGTAGCACCTTGGAGTTAAAGGTTTTTCAAGCATAGCCCAGCACTGGCATCATGTAGATACGGGTTTGAATCCCAGCCCCTCCACGTGGCTTTGGATGAGCTACTTAATGTCACCGGGCCTCAGTTCCCTCATCTCTAAAATGGGGCAGTAAGACTTCTCACAGTCTTAGAGTGGGGATTAAGTGGGAGACATGAAACATCAGCTCTCCGGAAGTGAGTGGCTGCTGTTATTACAGGTCTTGCTGTTGTTAAACAGTGTTATTAGCAGCTCCGCAGTCCCTACCCGAGCCAGCAGTATGTGATCACGAGTGCAGTGTCCCTCAGAAATGAGGGCACCACAATGGCTCTCTGGCAGAGAAAACTTTCTCACCTGTGGGTGTCGCATAGAGACCCTTGAGTTACCTAATTGGGGAGGGAAATCTTAAATTGTCACGTCAGCTCACTTAATGGTGAGGTTAGCCATGGTCTCACAGCAGCCCCCTCTTTGTAAGTGGACTTACTAGCTGGCTAGCCTCAAGATGAAGCTGGTTTCTACAAGAAAGCATTAAACCTCTGGCTGAGAAGAGGGTCTCTCTGCATTTCCGCACAACGTCCTCAGGTTTCTAAGGTCCGGGTCTCTTGTGCTCATTTACTGTCTTACGTCTACTTTATTTCATTTTGATTTTCATTACTTCCTCCTTTTCTGTCTCCTTTCTCAAAGGGAGACCTCTGAGGCTTTTATGTATCAGGAGGGGAAGGTGGATTTAAGAAATAGCTCATCCATGGAGAAAAACCGGGATACAATAAGTAAATGCAGCCCGATTTGGGGAGTGGAGAGGACACTCCCACCTTGCTGGAGCTTTTTCTTTTGAAAAGCTGACAGCTGCCGGGAGAGGGAAACCGACCAGAAGAACCTGATCGGGTTACTTTTGTTCAGCAGGTTGTATGGAAGGTTGGAGAAGAATGCTTGTGCCTCACAGTCCGCCGGAAGGACGGTGTCATTTTAAACTGCGAGAGTGGGCAGTCAGTGTGAGAGACCAAGGCCCTTGAGTTCTGACTGGGTACGAATCTGATGGGGCTGATCCTCCAAGGACCTTTGGAGGCATCATCATTTAATTTCTAAAACCAGTAATGAGCCGTCCCTTTGGGGTAGCGACATGGTGGTGACAGTGGCCCTGCTTACTGAGCACTCACTATGTGCCAAACACCAAGCTAACTGAACACAGTCTCAGTTTTTCGGAACAACCCCCTGACGTAAGTGGTGACGTCCTCATTTCACAAAGGAGAGAATTAAGATTCAGATAGTTTTAATAACTTTTCCGTGATCAAATAGCACACGACAGAGTTGGAATTAAAATTCACATCTCTGTTGACCGGAGTCCGTGGTCTCGATTATTGCTTTATTTTGCTTTGTTCCCCTCAGTCAAAATACAGTGAACCTGTAATTATATTTGGAGTTGTATTTA